AGTTGTGAGAGTTGCATGTCAGTGTTATTTCTCACCAAATGAAGGTCTGTCGTAAGATTTTTGTAAATAGCATCTAGTGAGAGTCCAAGTTTACCAATCGAGCGTAACCCAATAAGATTGAGCGGTGATGTAGTGGCGTTGAAAGGTAGACTGTGCATGGAATTATTGACGGATGTGTCCAGATAACAGGTCCCATTAAGCTGAAAAGCATTTCTTGTTGCAGATTCGTAGCAAGTGCTATTGGGGAACAGTGGCGTAGCGTGACTTTTTCAACTGGGTATTCTCTATTAAACAAAAGGGTGGGGCAGGGTGTGGCTTGATGGAAATAGGAGGGATAATAGGAAGATTAAAAGGACTAGCTATTGACAATTTATCTAATTTTCTTTCTGGTTCGGTTGGCAAGTACTGCACTATCAGGGCATTGCTATGATGAAAACGATACTTTGCTAAAAAACTCAACGCAAATATACTCTTCGAACTCATTCATTGCATCAAAATACCACTAACCATTTCATCAAAAGTAATTCAAATCAAAACGTATCATTGAAAGTCAGTAAAATTTTGCTCGTCGAAATATGTCCCAATAGTTGTTGTTGAATCCTCTAAAATTTGCACTGATGTATAGAGGAAGTAACTGTAAACACCTTCTCTTGATACCTTAATACAAAAGGGCTTTCAAAAGTTATTCACATAGGGCATTACACGAGTTATAAATATTTTGTGGTATGCAGTGGATGCAGTCTAGACTTTTTCTTCATGGCTTAATCGTGATATTTTCAATACAAGTTAATGATTGAAAGAATCGAAGGTAATGAGACGAGACTGCATAATAAAGCAAATAAATGGGCTCGAATAATGCAAACAAAATAGGCCAACAATATAAGTGAATGCACCAGGCAACTATAAGGATATTATCCAGGCCTATCTGCATTTACTTTAATTCTATCACATAATACAAACAGAAGCATCCCTGATTGACAAGCAATTTCAAGAGGCACAGATCTAAGTCAGTGTAGCATTATGTAGAAGCCTACCTTTCCTTTCCACTTTGCTGTTGGTAGGTTAAGATTAGGGGTCAAATGAGAGAATGATTATTAAACAGTAATACGGACATTGCAATAGCTTTGAATGAAGTCATGTTTACTGTTTTCGATGAAGATCCACCACTCCAACCGCTCCGACGTCCATTAACTGTTTATATCGATCTCAAAACGAGACTATTTTGAACCAACTTTGAGGCTGTACGCTGCATATTTCTCAGCGTACAAGACCATTGTTTTAGCTGATTAACGGCAAATATTATTCATGGAAAGGAGCATTTTGATTGGTTAAAGAACCGTCTAGGGTATTCACTGCGTATTCATGACCGATCTCCATTCAACATGAAGTAGCTCAATCTTCAAAATTAGCTTCAAAGATCTCCCAGCTTCTCTATGCTTCGCAGCGTTATCGTTTCCATCAATTTCGTGATATTTTGTACTTATACAAAATGTAGAATATCGAAGGTAACGAATTCAACCAGAATCAATAGCCCCAAAACATTTTTTAGTTATTACAATTATACGTCGTATTAATATTTTTTCTGAGAAATCTCAGGGTATTCACTGAATACCTTGAATACCCGGACGCTACGCCACTGTTGGGGAATAGCTTTGGTCGTCCCAATTGTTTACATGTAGATTCAGAGATGAAGTTATCTGGTGCACCAGTGTCAATCTCTATCGTGAATTCCTGGTTGTTGAGGAGAACTGGAATTTCCATTCGAATTTTAGCGTTGCTGGTCACTGAGGCGATGCGTGCTTGCTGACAGTTTTTGCTCGAAAAACCGGAGTCACCTGATTAGATGCTGTTGACAGTTGCAGCCTTATGCGATGTTTGTTTCTGTCTCTTCTTGGAGAGGCAAACTCGCTCAAGGTGTCCCTTCTTTTGGCAATAATTGCACGTTGACTCTTTGTATCGGCATTCATTAGACTTGTGATTCACATTGCCACATCTCATGCATGTGCCACTGAAGTTTTGTTCTGACTGTTGTGCTGGGTTGGGAGTCACTTTAGCCTTATAATGTTTCTTTGTAACTGCATGTACAGGTTTTGAAGATTGTTGCTTTGACCCATAGATGGTTTCCTTGGCAACCTTAGCTGCATCTTCTGTCTCATTACTCTGGTTTGTCAGAAAAATCTGTGCTTTCTTGGAATCTTGAACAGAGTGGGCACCAAGAAATGTCTGAAAGCGTTTCCAATAGTCAGTCCATAATTCCGACGAACTGTCCAAGGGCTGAAATTTAGGAATTACCGATCGCTGGCAGAAATCAAACAGAGAAAAGACAGTGTGCCAATCTATGATTAACACAAGTACTTATCTCTAAAAACTGTAAAACTTGAGTGAGCAATTAGCTAGCAACTTTTATAGTAATCTGTCTTGTGTCTCTTGACAATCCATTCTTCGTGTTAACACCACTATGTTCACACGTCTCGGTTAATCAAAACATGTTTACGAAGAAATACTTGTATACCTTCGTAACACTTTCCTATCATAGAAAGGTAGGAAATAAATTGAATTTGTTAGGAATCGCGTTTTTGCTAACACCTTTTCTAGAATCCCGCCAAAACAGTAGTATTTGTCCAATCAATGTTAGAATGCTAGTTTTTGAGCCGCCATTTTGTTATTCACCGTCTTAATACTTTTGTCACGTAAGCGTATATTTCCTATCGTAGAGTTTTGGTCTATGGTCTGACGTTTTATACTCTGAAGAGTGTCAGACGAAAAGCTTCAGTTTACTCAAATGTTTGCTTTTTTCAAAGCCATTTATAATGAAATACCTTTAACAGTGCAAATCAGTCAAATGTGTTAAAAATTGGCTGAGACATGGCCACATGGGCACAGGCTCTTTCCCAAACAAAACTCTGTAATTTGATCTTGTTTCATAACTTTATGAACCAGGCCAGAATAACAGTAATCCGTTTGCAAACTTGAAGTCTTTTATTGGCCATATCTCGCCCTATTTTTAACAAAATTAACCTTTATTGCATATTGAGAACTCTTGACGACGTCACAGTTCGGTACTCTATTTATAAAAAATTTCCGCTTGTGATTATAAGGAAGCAAAAAGGCCTTCGAGAATAAGAAAAAATAGAAGAAGTGGAGGTGGTAATATAAAAGTCTTTCTGTTTTTCCCCATTTCTTCTCATTCCTTCCCACTCTCTTTCTTATGCGATATATGAACGATATTTCTCTTCCGATTAACGAGCAAATTCTCAGCACGTCCGTTACCCTAAATTTACTTGGGGGTTTCAGATAAAAATTTCAGTATTTCCTTTGCTTCTCTGCTAAGATCGGACTTGCTAGTGTTGATCAATAAATCTCTAGTTGTGTCTGTCTGACTAAACTCTTCTCCTTTTCTAGAGGGATACTAAATTCAAAAGTTTTAAAGTGTCTCCCACTCCAGGAAGTAAATTCAGCACTGCTAAAGGAGGCGGTTGCATTCCGTGTGCATGTTCAGAGGGTTTTTTCTTCTCAAAATATGAGTTTCTTAGGGATAGCTGAAGATCGGAATGACGTGGCTTGTACGCGGAACAGGAATAGTAACTTACTTGCTGCGTGATTTTGACCCGCAGCTAAGTTTGAATCACCTCTATGGTTTAAATTTAGCCAGCATTCATTGTACCTGTTTATGCTTGTGCAAGGATAATTGAATCGCTAAATTCTTTCTAATTTTAAATTTAGATAAATGCGCCACAGGTGATGTTGCCAATCTAACGATTACGTAATACTTTCAAAGAAGCTATCTTAGAGGCGAATGATAAGTTAAAGGAGAATGGAAAACATTGAGTGGTATATGTATCACAGTCATCGTGTTTAGTAATCAAATGATTACTTAATACTTTCCAAGAAGCTATCAAAGATGCTATCTTAAAGGCGAATGATAAGTTAAAGGAGAATGGAAAACATTGAGTGGTATATGTATCACAGTCATCGTGTTTAGTAATCAAATGATTACTTAATACTTTCCAAGAAGCTATCAAAGATGCTATCTTAAAGGCGAATGATAAGTTAAAGGAGAATGGAAAACATTGAGTGGTATATGTATCACAGTCATCGTGTTTAGTAATCAAATGATTACTTAATACTTTCCAAGAAGCTATCAAAGATGCTATCTTAAAGGCGAATGATAAGTTAAAGGAGAATGGAAAACATTGGGTGGTATATGTATCACAGTCATCGTGTTTAGTAATCAAATTATTACTTAATGATGTCAGTGAAGATCAATTGTGCTTAACAATATATAGTCGTATGTAACAAGAATGGATTGCCAGTTATTCTTCTCTGTCCCCTTCAAATTAAATTCAAAGTGCAGCCTGTTATATTTTTGTTTTATATTTCTATGGCCCAAATTGAATTTCTCATAAACGCCATTCAGTTGTAAACGTTATGTTTTATGCAAGTAAATGATTTTAAAACCATCAGAGTTTTAAAGAAAATTTTTCATAGATACGAAATTATTCTTGATAGATATTTTTTAAATCTGCGGTAGATTTTGTAAGTAAAAGCTTTCTAAGTCAAAATTTGATTGAAGACAAAAACCTCACCTGAAAGGCTGGCACCATTTTGAAGCCTAAAAACTAATTACATGTAGTTATTTGACGGAGAATTGACAAAAAACAAGTAAGGAATACGCCAAACTCTAGAGCATCTTGATTTTTCCTTTTTTAAAGCAAGTTTCCTTTTTCGTAGATTCCTGTGCATATTCCATATTTATGAACTTTATTTTCTTTTGCATATTTTTGACAAACTCTGACCACACATCTTCAAAGACGAACCTTTAAGCTGCTAAAATCCGACAAAAAAAACCCAGATAAAGAGAATAATAACTTTAGTGTACCCATCACTTGACATCTACCTCTTAAAAAAGTCCTGGCTATCAAATGTTATCTTTACTATATTCTTCATCCGGTAATTTAATTCTTAATTTATGATTTGTAAACAATCTTATTTGCTTGTAGGTAATCGACGTTTTCGAAAATCTGTGCCTTGCAATTGGTCGTCGGGATACAGATGGTCAACAGCAATGCTCCTAAGGTATCTTGTCTTATCAAGGGTAGCAAATGAAATTAACAAATTTCCAAAATCTATTTTTGTCGACCTCCACTATATTTAGAAACTGGGTCGAAATTCGCTTAGAACTACAAACGAAACCAATTTCAGGATAAAGTCGTAGCGAAAATCTTATGACGCACAAATCCCCTCCCAAATATCTATTTTGGGGGTTGATAATATCATATATAAACAATAAGTTAATACTGGACATAGTGAATTCATTTCTATGATAGGGGCATCGGCATCCTTGCTTGACGTCCTGCCCATACGTCATTGTAGACTGCCGATGCCGCCCTTTGTATTTTTTTCTATGGTAGACATTTTTCCTTTTAGGGTTGCATTGTATTTAGCTTTCTATTAGCTTGTATTGTTTTGGTCGCATAAAATCCCTTTAGTACTCGCATTTTTTTTTACCGGGACATGCTCTATTTTGCTTTAATTTCCAGCTCACAATTTCTGGCAATTGGCTAAATCGATCTCCGAGAGTATTCATATACGGCTTGACCCGTGTGCCGAGGGAAGGGACTGAGCCCCTTTGCATTCGTCGATTGATAATGGAATCTATCTACCTTGCTATTTTTTTAAGATAATTTTTTGATAGGGCCCGCTTGTTCTTTTAATGGAACTACATTCCAGATCAGAACCTGATAAAATCGGTTTTGAAATTTGTGTATTTTCCTTGGTTAATTCTTCCTTGGTACGGAGTGCGAACATTTTCTAATGCGGCCCGTCCCTTACATAATGGCTGTTGAGTGCAACCCTCTTCCCTTCCAAGATAAAACTGAGGTTATTTCTAATCCCTTTGCAGTTTAAGTCTTGGTGGATTTGGTGTTGATAGGTTCTACCTGGGTCATTGGAAAGCTGGACTTGGAAAAGTTTTCAGTTTTGGTGGTTTAGGAGTATGGACACTAGTTGACATAGTATTGATTGCAATAGGCTACGTCGGTCCAGCCGACGGATCGCTGTATATATTTTGAGTTATTTCATTCTCTCCATATTTCGAAATTTTGTGGCGTATTTCTCACGTGTAATTAGCTTTCATGCCTTTGTGTGTCTGGTCAAAGTAAAGCAGCTGTAAATATTATAGAGGTGCAGGTATGATGAAATAGTCTTCATAACTCGTTGATAATTTAGACTCTATTTCTTCATTGCAAATCAAAAACAGGTTGTTGTACAGTTGGTTGTCAACAAATGAATGACACCTTCAACAACGAACCTTCGCTAGGCGTTATGCATGAAAATTCTATTGATGTAAATCGAGTCTGTGTTTTGTAAAGCTGGGTTTTGTTTCACTTTCTTCATCTTCCACCTTTGAATAAATGTTGCTTCATCCATGGCTGCGATTTCCCTTACCGTAAGCACCATTTCCGCGTGCAGTCAGTCAATCGAACGAGAGACGTAAACAAAACTCCCTCGTAGCGGGTTTGCTATTTGTGGTATCTCTTAGCCCAGCCTGTGTTCTATTCTAGTTTCAAACTGAATACGATAAAGTACCAGCGTAAAAAGGGGAAGGTATTTTATTGTTCTTGGGCTATATTCATTTTGCCAGATAATAATTGACGTCTGCCATCCAGATAGATCATGTAATTCCATTCTGTTGTTCAATGTCTGTGCGGCGATTGTCTTTTCAATAGAAGCACCATACATTGTGTTTGTACGCAATCACAGATGCCATCGTTTTATGTATTCTGACGTTAAACATTAGGCCGTCAACGAACTTAAGTTAAGCAAGGCGTGATACCTTTACGCCCCTTTTTGTCCTGAGTCCTCGATGATACGTCACAAAGATAACCAACTGCTACGTCACACGGCTTTTCGTAGGATAGCAAATTAGAAGCGACTTTAAAAGTAGAAGTCACAATTTGTATTTCATTCTTTTCTTTTAACATCGTGGTGGTGTGAGATCAATAGGCCCGAGCAATGAGTGCTGCTGAAAATTTGCGAAACCAAGCTAGGCCATTTACTTCACATAGAACCCAGTTTTGCCAAAAAGCAGACCACACTCCTGGGATTGACAGCGATATTTTGACGATTTCACTTCAAATGGAAAGCAGAGCAATAGACAGAGAAAGTCACTGCATGCAAGGTATCAACGTGGCTACAACTCATGGACTTGATTTAAGCGAACTGCGGAGTTTTGCGTTTGACACTGAGGCAGAATTGAACGCTGGTGTAACCAATGTGTTTTCAAATGCCACACCCACTAAGGCGACAAGTTGTTCTGCAATAGGAAGTGTTTCATTGAGGCGAAATGATTTGTCAAGGTCATTGCCAACTTTTGCTGCATCAAATAGCGAGTATAATGGATTTCCATCAGAAGTAGATCCATACGAACAGAGTACTTTCAGTGATTTAGGAGACCCTGCAAGGCAAACCTTTAATCGTAGCATTTCAAACTGCCCAAGCCGAGGATCCAGCTCAGAATTTAGTGACCTTGAAGTCGACAAGGATTTCAAAAGTCCAACTTTGACATTTGAGAAAGAGCGTGCATCTTTGCTTGCAGAGTTTGCTTTCAGTGAGCAAGTTCAAAGTGGGGGATGTTCGGACGAGAAGAAGGTTTTCAAAACAAAGGAAAAGAGCCGGCTTGCTGCCAGGCTGTGCAGAAGAAAGAAAAAGGAGTACATAAAATGTCTTGAAGAGAGAGTTAGATCACTTGAGGAGCAAAACAACACTCTCATGGCTAATTTGAAGTCATTGACTCAAAAATATGGTAATTCACTTTACTTTCCCTAATATTTTTGTTACTGCCATTATGAAGAAAGGTGGTAGATTTTCTTTGTAGTAATTCTTTTCCATGTAAATAACTTATGTGCAGGCCACATAGTTGTAAATATTCAGTGACATATTTATTGTCATACGATGCACATTGAGCATATTGTAAAATGATCTGAAAATATTTCAGGTCGAGATAAACTAATCGAAAATTTCAGTTAAGTTGTAAAGTCAATTTTGTTGGTTCAACCCCCTCTCCACTTCCTACGGAAAGTTTTTCTTGCGAAGAATTGGGGAAAAGCTTTCCTCGGTACTTTTTTTGTACAAAGTCGTATTCATTTTGCACCATCAAGCTTCCATTTCTAAACGTAGTTTCTAAAAGTTTGTAATCATATTACGCAATTCAGGTGTTCATAGTTAATACTTCCTGTTGCTTTGCTATAGATATTACTGTGCTTGTTGCATACAACGATTTTTGCTATGCAAATATGCTTTGGGGTATCTTTTGAAGTGTAAATATTTTTACATATAAATTCATACATTCTTTGGTTGTAATTATATTTGAAGTGTAATAATGATGACATGATTATGTATTCCCTGTTCCTTATTCTATCTTGTCTACATTACTATTCTTTTTCTATTTTTTGCTCTTTCAATTAATAAAGCTTTTGCATACCTTGTCCATAATTTCAAAACATATAATTCGTCTCTACTTGTTCATATGTTGTTTGCTATTATTACAATGTACTAAGCTTTCTTTGAAAGACAATCAAGTCTTAATTGTGGTCTTAAGCTAACTTTACTTTATGTAGATCTTAAATTCATTTTTTATAGGTTTTTTCCTTGATTCATTTTTCAATTCGGTTCTCCATTTGTTTCAATTCAGTTCCTTCATCTTTCCATTTCATTTATCCGTTCAAAGTAAAACATGAAAACCACTACGATGCATGTTTAGCATCTTTTTAGTTTGAGTTTTTGTCACATCATTTTTGTCACAAGCAACAATCTTTACAACGAGGAAGCAGACTATTTTGACAAACTTCTGAATTCATTTATTTTCAGAATCCCTTAATCTAAAATTTGGCCACTATCTAAAAAGTTAGGTCACTGCCATTTTTAAGAAGAGGATAAGCTTACGGTATGATAAGACTATAGCAACCATTTGTAAACCATTGATAACGTATTTTGCGAATTAATTTTGAGAAAGGGATGAGTGCGTTTAAGTTTTTGAGTGCACTCGCTTTTTATACCTTCTGCTGATAAATGTCTAAAGTTCTTCATATCCTCTTTATACTCACTTCTGGAGAGCAAACAACAAAGAGATTGTTATTTATTAGGTATCATACACAGACCCATGATTAGTTTGATGGATTTTCAAAATATGTGCTCTTTCTATTACCATCATTCTATAGACAACTTTACAGTCCTATGCTGGTGGTGTTTTGAGAGCTTTCAACTTGTTGTTGGTTTGAAATTTGGAAGTTAGTTTACGCTGCTGAAAAAAATTGAAAAATTTTCACTTTCATTTGCGTACCTTTCTCAAATTTCTATCTGCCTTTTTCTTGTTGTCGTACAATTCATTTTACACTGTAAAAGCTGATCAGTTCATACCTTGATAAAGAACTAAGCCAAAAGCTTTCCAAAAGACTTGGGCTCATAAACTGGCTTAGGAAGCCAGCTTTCATTTTATAATAGAATCTCTGTAAGTTAAAACATCACCTCACAAATAAATTTCGTCAAGGCATTTAGGCTAAACTGGGAGATCTCCAGTCTTCGATGTTTTTGAAACAGTTTCGAAACTATTTAGCTTTTTAATTTTTGTATTTAATGCTCCCTTAAATATTGTATTAAAAGAAACATGCAAGTTTCTGGTATATCTTTGATTTAGAGGGTGCATTTTCAAGAACTGATAAGACAAGTTTTTGCTGGTATCTGGTGTTATGATGTGCCTTCGTTCAATTTCCATCCTTACCTCCGTACGTATTCATGTTCCTTATGCTATAAAATTGGCCAACCTGCCTCATCATGCTGTTTACCCAGGACAAGTGTTCTCTCTTGCCAAGTACTTCCGCTCGTAGATTTCATAATGGGGCTCACCTACACCTTTTCATTACGCGATATAACCTTTCCAATAAAGATCTTTTTCTGCAAAAAGGCATTTGGTTATGTGTCCAGCTTTCTCTGTTCCGTGAAGCGTTTCCATAATTTCTATTGGCTTCATCGAAGCTTGGCATGCAAATGTATGCTATCTAACTTGATGAAAACTGAGACACGAATTTTTTGACATCAGTTCAGCTCAGCTCAGCTCATTTCATTTTAAATTTCCATTGCATACAAATGCCATTGGAATCATGATAACAGAAAACATCAAAACAAAATTATAGTAAGAAAATGCAAGCTGTCTGAATAACAAATTTTGTAAGGGAAATAGCATGCTGGGAATTTCTTAATGGGGGAGCAATCTAAAATAGGTAAAATTATCGAAGAGAAAGCACACCCTTGATTAAAAAAAATTTGGAGTTTGCGTGAAGAATAATTTAATATTCCATTTATTAAACATGCTCATATTTTAAGCATGACTGCTGATATTTGGTGGTTTTTTTGAAATGCTAGGGCTATTATTATTATCGATTTATTTTAAAGTTGGCTTTATAATTCAAATAGCTAAAATAACAGCTAATTAAGGTCAACTAGAACTAAAAGAAAATACATTATAATTTACAAAGAAAAACAATACCCGGAAATGACAAAATTAATTAATCTAAAAACCCTAAATCTTTGATAAAAACTTTACACAATCTGCAGGTGCATGAATCGCAATTCCACTGTTTTAGTTTTCTTTTAAATTCTTGAATTGTGCTACAGTCTTTCAAGAAACTTGGAAGTGAAGACCATAGAGTTAGTGCTGACAAATTTGAGCTCAAGTAAATGGCAGAAATTCATTGCTGTTAAAGTTTGCTAAATAACAGGCCATGTGCTGTACCTCGTTATAGACATCTTGCTTTCTTCTCTGTGTCAGATCATGACTATTAATTAGAGAGGTGGTTTTTACCGAAAATGTTCGGTTTAATCAAAAAACCACCTTCTTGATATGCCGACCAAATTAAGCTCTAAAGAAAAATATTACAGTTAGAAATAAGATATGCCTATTTGGTGAAAGATTGCTTCTTCTCAAAGCCAGCTCATATCGCTTAAAGTCCACTTTAAAGTATGAAGGTATTCGGATACTTTTCCCTTGTCTAATAGCAAGGTAAAATTCCCTTGATTGATGTAGCCTTGACATTTCACAGTGGAAGGAGTAAGTGTTTTAGTTCTAGAATACTGTTGCTGCTTTTGTCAAAAGGCTTTTAAAATTTACTCTGCACTTTCTGCTGGCTCTAGCCTTCTGATATTCCCATGCTTATTTTATTTAGTGTTTGAAGCCCATGTCGCAACAGTATTGTATGTACAAGGCTGATTAATGACGTCATCAGTTAAAATTCTTTACCCTGCAGATGGATGATAATCCACGAAAACGAGATTAATTATAGTTTATTAATCAAACTGACATATTTCTGTGCGGAAAATAAAACCAATCAGAATCAAAGTTAATCCTTTTAAATAAAAAATAAATATTTTCCGGCTCCAAAAATTGGCAGCTGCTTGATCAGCAATAAGCCCATTAGGCAAACAGCTAGAGTAGGCTGCCAAAAATTAAGTCAAAATGAAGCCATTTCAGTTTCATCAAATACACCTGATGTTAGTTGCCAATTAGTGAAAAATAGAGGTTTGAAACAAGCTCTTTTTCGTTATGTGTGTGCCCATGTGTGCCAACCGTAATGCGGGATATTATCATAATTTGTTGAACAAGGCATACATTACAAGATATGTACAGTAAAAAACCCGCGTGTAAGAACTTAGGGATTTAAGAACCTTCTGGCAGCAATTTGCTTTTTTAGTTGTCCAAAATATAAGAACCTTTTTAGTCAAACAATTCCATACATGTTCTTATATGTTGAGTTGAACCATTTAATTTATATACTTTTTTACCAGAACCAAAAAGGTGACAAAAAATCGAATCGTTAAAAGAAAAAATCCAAATGCAGTATGTTAAATTTGAACTGTTATTTTGGCAACATTTGTACACTAATAAATGTTTAAAATGAAGAACAGACCAGATTTAATGCTAATTTTGATAATAAACAACAATATTTACTCTGCTGAAATCAAGAACCCAATTAAGAACCTATTTAGCCTAAACTGTTAATAAGTACCCTCATAATGCAAGAACCTGTTTCGCCAAATTCTGAAAAATTACGTTCCTACACGCGGGTTTTTACTGTATTTATTAAGCAGAGTTCTATCTAGGTGAAGCTTTCTGCTACCTCACCAGCTAATCCACAGATAAATATGGCTCTCGTGATCTGTATACTGGGATGGATGGATGCCTGGAAAGTCCCCCATTTTTTGGAAGCCTCTCATTCCTGGGAAGCCCTTCATCCCACTGATCAGTGCTTCATCCTGGGTAGCCTCTCATTCTTGAGTAACAATGGCAACCCGTTTAAAGGAATGACGCTAGCACTTTCAAATCAATATATAGTTGATAGCATAAGCAACTCTGTAATTTCACCAACAATTTTCTGTTCATAACATAGTGATTATAACAATTATTACATTCTGACAAACAAAAGCTGTCAGAGATGTAGAAAAAATTCGTAAGAGCTATCATGGCATAAATGTACACAACTTGTAATAAGTGAAACAGAACGAGAGAAGACTTTTACCAAGATATCACTGTACGATAATACTTTTCACCATTTTGATAGTATTGCCAAATTTGTCTTCGTTGTTAAATTTCTAGAAATATTTATTTAACAAAGAATGAAAAATTATATTCTGCTGTAATTCATTTTCCGTTTTATGTTTTAGTTATTGCTGTTAAAAGTTGTTTTTAAATCCATGTATATCTATCATTACCTCTTCTGTTGTCATTTTCAACTTGAGCTTATGACAACTTGGCTGTTGATAGAATAATTAAACTGAAACTTAAACATACATATGTCTGACATGGTCAGAATGATTAAACTGAAACTGAAACTTTCATATGTTTACATAGTTAGAATGTTTAAACTGAAACTGAAACTTTTATATATTTACATGGTTAGAATAATTAAACTAAAACTTTAACATACATATATTCATATGACTATAATATGTCTGACATGGTTAGAATAATTAAACTGCAACTGAAGCGTACATATATTTCACATTGTCAGAACAACTAAACTGATACTGTAACATTTATATATTCGCCATGGTTAGAATTATGAAACTATAATTGAATCGTACATATATTTGGCATGGTCAGCATAATTAAAACTAAGACTGAAACCAGGGGCGGATCCAGAGCAAATTGAAGGAGGGGCAGTTGGTAGTGGGGGCGCTGAAAAATTTTCAAAAACTACGAGAGTACGCTGTATACAACAATTTCAGATACCTTTTCAGAATAACAACATAACTTTGAGGTAATCCTTGAAGCAAATTAACTTATCGGTCCAAGAAACTTTTTCATCTGAATCTCATTCTTCAAAAGAGGCGCACAATTTCCAAAAGA